ATCAATTCCAACCCATTCATCCATATCTAAAGCATAACTATCCTTGCTTAGATGTGACCATACTTCTCCGAAACCTCATCTGCTGTAGCAGCCTGCCTGGAAAATTAAATATGATTTAATGGTGTGGGATTAATCAACGTTGCTAACTAGGCAATTTGGGATGAAAATGACCAAATCAATTCAACCCTTAAACTTCAAACAATTTCTCATTGTCCAATTCCGGAAACGAGGAGCCGTGAATTCTCGAAACAAAAAAGCATAACAATTCTAAGTTCTAAGGGATCGTTTGGAAGTTGCGAATGTTAAATCGTTGCATTATAATGAATCACCATAATATAAATGCATGAATTGATACAATGGATGCATTTTAGCAATATATTGTTTGGTTGTTGAGATTCTACTTTATGCATTGATTTCCATAAAGTTACTTTTATGGAAAAATGTCACATTTACCCTCAACTTTTAGAATAAGACGAAAACTATTGGGGATATAAATGGAAAGAAAAGGTTGACACAAATATAAAACCAACAATCATAACAATCTCAACTTTTAGTTGATATTGTATAATGCATCATTTTTTGTGATTGTTGTTGACCTACCTAAAACAATGCATGCATTGTTTAACACTTTGACACTTCCAAACATTGTATTGTGCACAAGACATGTATTCAACAAACACAACTCTAACAATCACAACTTCCAAACAAACTCTAAGTTCTAACACCGTGTTAGAATGTATTATATAGGATTTCATTTATGTATTATAGGTAGTTATCTGTAATTTGTAGAGTAAGTACCATAATAGTAATTTGTTCGTACAGTGTATCGAGACACTTTACTACTTTCTCTCTAAATGAATGAATCATATGGTGATAAAAAAAAAATCATATTCTCTTTCTTCTTCCGCAAACTCTAATATATTAATCTAACATGGTATTAGAGTCTGGTATTGTATAGATAGTATACTAGCGTGGTCCCGGTCATTTGGTCGGAGGAAGGTGAGGTTTGAAATTTGATAATGTAATAAGGTGTATAGCTTATTGTTGTATATTTTTTTTTTGAAACACGTGATAAAAATAGTGAATTTTAGTAGGATAGAGACATGAATGATGCAACGAATCAAAAATCAGCCTTATGAACCAAAATCAAGTACCTGTTACCTTGTGAAACAATATTGTTTCTGGTAATATGATGAGGTGGCGTAAGTTTTATAGAAACCGAATTCCAGAAAATCGAATAAAAATCGCCTATCCCGCCGGTTTTTGGAAAATAAGCATCTCACAATCGTTGCTAGCTTTTACTCGGCCCGTTGGCCGATTAATTTGCTTTATAAAACTTTCATCTTGTCATCATTGTGCTTTCTGGTTTTTTGCCAAGCCATGATAAAATCTAAAGAAATCAAGAATGAACAACACGATTTGGGATAGGAACCACCGTTCCGGTATCTCTAGAAAATGGTGGTAAACACGGACTCACCTACCAAACTGGTTTGGATTGAGATTTTTATTGGGTATCAGGGAACCATGTGATTATAAATTAGACTTGATCAAAATGGGCCAAAACTTGAAATTCATCATGTTTGAGTTTGACCGACCCATGCCAAACTCTAATTATTCTTTACTTTTAAACTTTCTATTTGAAAATAAAAAATAATGAAAGAAAAGAGATGACCTTCATTCGCCATTTGCACATCACTTATTCGGGAATAAAACTATAGAATTTCGAAAGAAAACTGAAAATGTTTAGGATCGTTTTAATGTTAAAAATAACCAAATAGATCTTTCTGTTTAGTTTTTTACTAATAAATACCATTCGATTCCCTATAATATACACTATAATTTAATCATTATGATATCAAATAATTACATAATATATATTTAAAATGATAAAAATTGGACTAATTGGGTTGGTCGAGGTTGAACCATTGAATAACTTTAAAATACATTATATTTTAGCCACTAAGATATAAAATAATAGCATAATATATATATTATACTACAGAAAATAGCTTGTTTTAGAATAGCAAACCCATGAGATTCATTTGTTTTACTTGATGGGCAAATCCCGTGTAGGTCAGGCCCATTCAACTCTTTTATTTTATGATTAGTTGTTAGCCCATTAGAATCCATGCATTAGTTTATTGTTAATTTTTATTCTTTTTAGCAATAAAAAGGAGTATTGTTTTTGCCTTTTCATATATATTTTATCACCACGGAGAAAAAAATTGACTTAAAGAAAAAAATTGACACTCCTGGACCCGTTTAAATCGGCATGTGTAGGGTAAGTTGGCCCGTTCCACAGAGGAAAAGGAAAATAATTGACACTCCCTATTCTACCCTTCCTACAAACGCTCATGGAGCAGGGAATTTGAAATGGGGGAAGGTTTTTTTCCTCTCTGCGATTATATGTTTTTAATTTAAAAGATACAACAAATGTACTTAGCGTGATTGGTTATGATCTTTGCTTTTCTTTAAAGTGGTCATGGTTTGAATCCTAGTAAGTGTTTTTTTAATGAATAAAAATAATAATTGTGAAGACCAAAATGTTCTTCCTACTTTCACTCTCGATGCAGGAAATTTGAAATGGGGCTTCAAGTTTTCTCATTTGGCTTTTATTTATTGTGTAGATGTGGAGCGTCATGAACTTAATGATGAGTAATCATGAGTAACATGTCCATATCAGCTTGACATCAGCATCCATCTCTTTCATGAAAAGTATTTTATCTTTTCCCCTTCAATCTTTAATGGACGATTTCTCTCTCGTTTTAAGTTGGACAAATAAATCAGATTAATTGTGCTTTTTAAAATGATATCCACTTTGATATATTTTTAGAACAAAAAAAATCGAGTCATTTTTTACAAGTCAATATCATATGGTATTGAATAGGAAAATTTGTTCATGAAAAACCACACCTCTAGACTCATGATAACTATGGGTATTAAGAGGTTGTTTGAATGATATAATTCTAACTGATCAATTTGATTTAATTGTTTCATTTTGAGACAATTTAGGGGTCGTTTGTATGATGAATTCTAACTGATCAATTTGATCTAATTGTTTCCTTTTGAGAAAATCTAGCCAAATTAATCCGTTTGGCAGCATAAAATAATTAGATCAAATTGATCCGTTGTTTTATATGGGAAAATTTGTTCATGTAAAATCTGAATCTAAATATTAGGGAAGGATCTCAATATTAGGGAAGGTAAAATCTGAATCTAAAGAACTAATAGAGTTGTTTTATATGGGAAAATTTGTTCATGAAAAACCACACCTCTAGACTCATGATAACTATGGGTATTAAGAGGTTGTTTGAATGATAGAATTCTAACTGATCAATTTGATCTAATTGTTTCATTTTGAGACAATCTAGGGGTCGTTTGTATGATGAATTCTAACTGATCAATTTGATCTAATTGTTTCGTTTTGAGAAAATCTAGTCAAATTAATCCGTTTGGCAGCATAAAACTTAGATGAAGTAATTTTGTTTGTGAAATTTCAAATTGACTCGTTTTGAGGCAATTACAATTATCTGTGGTGGGGACAGACAATTAAATTGACTTATTTTAAATAACTCATTTTGTAAAATGAGAGAATTGGCCAATTGTCTCATTTCCTATCGATCCATCCAAACGACCCCTAAGATCTATGACTTTATAATTTTTTGGTACCAAAAGGGTATCCAAGAAAAATACAGGGAGTGGTCTTATTTGGATTGGCAGTTTGGAAATTGTATTTTAGCAAAAGAATCTATCAACTTGGTAGCAGCTAGTGTATCTAATTATGCCTTCATGGCCTCAACTCATATAGGTTCTAAGGGGTCGTTTGCTAGAGTCATTTGAATGAGTCATTTGGTCTCAAATGACTTAATTGAGTCATTTGGTACCAAATGACTCGTTTGCTGTAAAAAAACTGCATGAATCATTTGGCTCATATGAAAGTCTCAAATAACTCTATTAAATCATTTTCAAATGCCTCCTATCTATGAGTCATTGTCAAATGACTTATCATTTTAACAAAACATTTCAATTATGTCCTTGTTACTTTTTCATAAACTCACTTTTACCCTTGCATTTTCTATTACTTATTTCCCCTACCATTCTTTTGTCTATTACCGAATTTTTTTCTTTCCGTCAAATTTAACAAGCGGTGATGGGAGGTCATCCATCTTATCGTCTACATTATTTTCTCGTGACTCTACATATTCGTGTCATCGGAGTTTCCTCCTTCAAGACAAGTCATAATTAGCCCAATGGGAGACTCCTGAAGTCGTTAGCTTTTATAAAGAAATTTAATATAAAAATATTATTTAATATTAGAAAGTATTATACATGACTCGTAATCATATGTTTTGTTGGTTGCAAAATGATTTTGTTACGTGGTTAGTTTTATGAGGATAAGAAACAAGATAATGAAATATTAAATGTAAGGACAAAATGGTATTTATGAATGACTCATCTAAAAACTATTTAACAAACAATGAATTTGCAAATGTCTACATTCGCAAATGTCTACATTTCTCAAATGTCTATATTTGAGCAAATGACTCATTTTGTAAATGACTCATGCAAACGGCCCCTAAATAACTTCTAAATAACATGAAGGCTTCTTTAGAAACACCCAATGTTTAAGAAACCTTGTCATACCGACCGATTGGACAGGAAATTCCGGATATTAGACCCAAAATAATAGGCAATTTTAACGGTAGAAAAAGGTTGAACTACGATTAAACCACGGTTTACTATAAGATACCGTATTACTGACTTTTTCAGCATAATCTCCGATATATAACAAACTCTTTGTAGGAAGGTGCTAATGGAGCATAAGACAAAACTTCAAAAATAGGATATTTGACATTAAGGAGATGTAGCCCCAATAGAAATACAGATATAGACGTGATCGAGCATGCCTCTTGATCTGTCTTGATATCAGAGCCATCTCGAGCTCGTTACACACCGAAAAAGTGAATGAATCAATCAAATAACTAATTTGATAGTAAAAGCTATGGTATGGAAGTTACATACACGTCATTATTCGTGATGTGCCGTCCTTTCAAAGCTCCGACCGTGGTTAGAGCCGCTTTCCAGTTTTGTATGGTCTTTTGATCATAGTTCTTCTCATGCTCCCGAAATGCATCTTGATAAGGTCCACTTTGATTGCGTACATCTCTTGGATCGATCATATAGAAAATTGGAAGTATGATAGGCCGATTATCTACCTTCATGTTTTCAACAATTTCGGCAAGCTCATTGAGGCACCATTTGTTATGAGCAGTGGCGGAGCCACTTGGAGAGGAGGGGGTGCAAGAAATTTTTTCCGAGTAGGGGTATATACAAATTCGAACCAGTGATCATTCAGTTGCACGAAGAATTTCTTACAATCTCAACCGAGTAAGTTTAGTTTTGTTATGAAATGCACTTTCGTCTTTATTTATAGTAATAAATTGTTGTCTTTTGTTTAAACTCGCTCATTTCTTTTGTAGCTCTACAATAGAGAAATTTCTTGCCTTTTGTTTAAACAAAACCGAAAGTGATGAAGTACCAATTGAAGTTCACTTATTTGTTTCACAAAATCAATTCCAAGGTACTTCTGAGTTCTAATTTGTAATACTTGATGAATGGAAAGTCTTGACTTGTATGTACTTAACTTATTTGTTTGACGTTGTAACCTATGTACGTGAAACTATTTTAATGTAATTGTATGAATTTAGAGTATTGCGTTGTTGACTTTTTTTCATTTAAACTTTACTTTTCTACTGTATAGGTAATTTTTTATGATATGATAAAGACATCCCCTTGGCCAATTTTCTGGCTCCGCCACTGGCTATGAGCATAACTCCTTGATAATATCAGGACATAAAGTTTGGAGTGACCAATAGGCTTCACAATATAGGGCCATATTCCTTCCCCTCGCGGAGTTCGTCGCCATCCTTAAACGTATGGAGTTTTAAGTGAACAAGAAAACAAAAGAGGATATTGGTAAGTTGATAACGAGTATCTAGACCTCGAAAGTTCAAAAACACCCGCACTCCATAGAGGACAGGGATAGTAAATCATTAGGGTCAAACTCCAACAAGGGAAGGGGCAGTGAATAAGAAGAACCTAGAAAGTCATCAGATTGTTGAGTGGTACTATTGTAATCGCCATTCTATAACTATATTTTTGTATGAAGAATTATATACAAAACAACATCATTTTTCTTTACAAGAGCGGGCCTGGTGGATAACGAGTTGCGTTTTAGTTAAACTTGCATCCAACTCAACACACCAATTGCAAAAACAGAATTTACCCACACCCAATCCAAGATCCGTCTACATGAGTTTTATTCAATTTGACCAGATTGGATTGGTTTGATAGCCACGGGTGTGAGTTCAATTGTCAACCCTGAATGCAACAGCTTCTAATGAGATATTGAGTAAAAGGAAAGCAATCAGAGACATACTGTTTCATGTTCGATGTATCGATGGCTAGGGGTGTTCAAACGGATTGGTTACCGTGGTAACCATATTAACCAGTAGCATTCGGTTAATTTGGCTTGGTTAATTTGGATAATTGATTTGGTTTGGTTAAACAATTTAGCTTGTTTGGTTTAGGTGGTTTGGTTTGGTTTCAACCCTGCTAACCAAGGAAACCAATTAACCAATTAATGATACACCAAATATACAAAATTATTTATACTTCCATGCAACCAACCAAATCAAACTTTCGTGATTCCCTGTTTTATTTCCATGTGCACAACAAACCAAAACATTATGGATCAAAAATTAAACGGGCCTGCCTATATTTACTAAACCAAAATATTTTGGACAACTACTAGACTTTAGAATTACGTACAATACAATGACAACCACCTCAAATTATATATAGTTTAAGTGTTTTGCATGAGATTTTTAACTTTCTGATGAGGGGTATTGGTATGTATTTATGTTTAGGGGTTTGTTGTAAGCCCTATATTAGGTGCAGAGATGATGAATGATGTCTTAACTCGAATGATGATGATAATTATGGATGGTTAGTCTTATTATTATTGCTTATATAAAATGATAGTTTATGTTTGTTTTCATGTAATGTAATGTTATTTGGTTAATCCGATTATCCGATTAACCAAACCAATTAAACTTTGATTTGGTTAATTTGGTTTTCGTGTTAATTTGGACGGTTTGGTTAAGACATTTTATTCCATGGTTAATGAAATTTAGGCTTAATTGGTTTGGTTATTACCACGGTAACCATTTGAACACCCCGCGGCTCCAATGCTAAGAGGAGCGGTTTTGTAATAATAATATAATAATAATGATGTGTAATTGGCGTGATGAAAGACTTTATACTATGAACTAGTTTTGTGCCCGCCCGATGGGCGGCGAGTTCATTTATTTGTACTTTTCTTTCTATTATTTATCATTTTTTCAATGGTATTAGATTCCTACTTTTCATATTTATTTATTATTGTTACCTATTATCACTGACTTATCTGACATGAGGGGCGCTACATTTACTCTAGGTTTTAATGATGATCGACAATAAAGTCAAACAACGCTGTAACATCATCACCGCTTGGAAAATATTATTCATGACCATCGGATCTTTGATTGACCAACAATTGTCAACTTCATAAGTTGTACATGGTTTAAGCTCATGTACGCCACCTTACCGTACTCCTATAGAGTTGGTATTTAGACCATGAATTAACGGAGTTTGGCACATGATGTTATACCATATTCTCTAATAGGTGAAACATAGTCTTTAATTCTCTAATCCAAATCGTACGAATCATTTAATAAAAAATAATAATCACCGATTCTTATTTGTCAAAATATATTAGATACAACTAATAGGTATGAATGAAAGTGCATATTACACCTCGAGTGTATGCTAGCCTTTTCCACCATTATATCAAAGTACAACCAAACTATTATGCTATGCTTCTTATCTTCAACATTGTACGAATTATATCAAAGCAAATGTTAGTTATGGAGACCCTTTGTCTTCACTTCACATTATCCTCCAATATTTAATATGTGACTGACTGTAACTGGAATTGTATGATAACTTAATACAAACATAAAGATGCTATGTTGTGCAGTCAGTATAGTAACTGAATTTAAAGGACATCGTCATGATATGATCCTGCGTTGGTTTTACAGGACACCGATCCGGGTACGTCCCACCCCGGTATGCATGACATCGGTTAGGGTATGATCCACAGTGGATTTATAGGACACCAGTCTAGGTACGATCTGTGGTGGTATGCATGCCATCTACTATACTACTTGAGGAGTGTATGACTTGGCAAATTAAGATGTAAAATGCAATGAACCTAACCATGCATGTGATTGAATCATTGTATAAATATTACTTATGATGTGGTTAAGTGATGACTTTCTATGATGTGATATATGAAATGTGCATGTCGATGATGATGGTTTTCTATGGTGTTTTATACAATGATTTAAGATTGGATGATATGATGCTTTGCTATGTTGGGACAGGGGTTACATGGTAATGCCAGTATGATGTGATATTTGATGCATACATGTTTAAACAGTGAGTTCTCAAGAGACTGGGTGATGGTTCTTATGTTGTGATGTATGAATTCTTTGAGTTTGAGATGATGAATGTGATATGGCATGTGGTGATGAATGGATGTTTATTTGACTGAATAAGATATAGCATATCGGATGTATCTTGACAGCTAAGTTAAATCAGTAAGGGCTGAGAGGTGGGTGACGTGAAACTGAATACTCCATGTTCTGTCATGATCAATGGGAGGGACAATAAGTCATTTTGAACTATACTCTTAAAGGTAACAGAGAAGATATAGATCATTATCTTATGAGTAAGGTTATCCGGCGAGTATAATTGGTTACTAAAAATAGTAATAGTAATATATGTATTAGGGTGTCACATTAAGTAAGGATTAAAATAGTTATTTACATATCAACCGTCATATATCCAATAGCATAAGATTCGTTTACAAATCTTGCTTGACTTAGGTGTTATTCATCTGAATATGACTCAAATTTGCACATCTACACTCATGGAGGAAAAAGAAAGGAACTTATGTCAAACAATAAAAAGAGAAAAGAAAAGAATTATAATTACATTAGTAAAAAAGTAAAGACAATGTGTTTTATAATTGTGCATGGAAGAATATTTAATGACGTAAGGAAAATGAAAAAAGAAAGAAGTTGTAATTACAAAAAAGAAATGATAATGATATCATTTTAATATGCGAGAAATGCCAAATTCAATCTAAAAATGACAAATGCATTATGCATATGTACATGACATTTTTATAACTTCTTTCACCAATTGGTCACAAACATATTTAAACCATATAGCCATAATTCGGTTTTGAAAATATACAAAAAAAAATTGGTGACCATTGGTGTCTAGTGATATTCTTAAACACATGAAATTTTGTGTATATATCACTGTAGCATATAACTGAACTATGTTGATATATTTCATATATTATAGTAAGTATTTTTCTAACAAATTGCAACATAACTACATTGGTTCACATATTTATAGTAGTTCATACAAACTAAATGTTAAATTCTTCGTGTTCTAGAATGCAGAAGAAGATATTCTTTACCTTTCATTATTCAATTTTTTTTAAAAAAATCACGTGTCAAATTATGTAAAAGTTTATAATTGTGTACCAACTAAATTTATGTTTTTCGAATTTTTTTAATTATATTTAAGAAATTATAAACAATTATGAAATATATTATAAACTAAAAATAATTTATTTGTAGATGTTAATGATTTTTTATCAATGCTAAAAAATAAAATACACAATTGTAGCCGTGATAGCTATTCTATTGGTTAAAAAACAGTTGTGATTAATTGCATGAAAGATATATTATTCTATTAGTTAAAAAGTTGAAATGATTACAGTTTGAGCTTCTAGGTGAGAGCGGATCCAGTGACTAAGGGGGGGTGCTTAGTCACTTGACTAAGCCTTTCCCAGCCCTTAGATCTGGACACTTCAATCTAATGGTTAAAAAGTGGGAAGTGCTATTTAATTAATGACAGGGGTAGTTTGGGTATTATGAAAAATTACGAAGTATACAAACAGGATTTACAATCAGTACAAACCATACAAACATACGAACAGTACAAACTATAGCGACAAAACATACAAACAGATTTACAAACATTACAAACGTATGAACTGTACAAACAATACAAACTAGACCGACAAACAATACAAACCATA